ATATCTTCTTTTCTAAACTAACCCCAACTTTGCTGTCAGGTCTGTCAACTCTACTTACCGTTAATGTACCATCTGCCTTTACAGTAAAGCGACTGTCATCAGTGCTGAAAAGAATTACTGTGCGCTCTGTGCAGTCAGTGAAGCCCACTGGGAAAGGATAGGAAAGAGTTAATCATTATGAATGTGGAACATATAGTGAAAAATCTGGCAAGTTTTTTGTATTCAAAGAAAAGCGACAGACACCACTGCAAGATGACTAAATGGTTTTTAGCTCTGTTAAAAGTAAATAATGTTGATAACCTGACTGAGTGTTGCTACTGTCAAAAATATCACACACACACACACACACACACACACTTTGGCGTTTAGCTCAGGTTGTCATTTCAAAAAGCAGCAAAATTGCCAGTGCAGAACAGATTTTTTTCTAGTTTCCATTAAAGACAACATAACTACACAACACCTCACTTCCCACACCCTTCAGGGGACCATGCTTATGAAAATTACATATTGACAACGTAATGTTAATCCATTCTTCATTTCTTTGATTTACTTTAACACTTAACATTCATTGTTAAATTTCTGAGATTGGTAATTCATTTTTAGGATACAAGAAAGAAGAGGGGGGATAAACAGCCTTGACTTGAACTAAAACAATTCATAGAATTGTCTAAACCTACGTATTCTTAGACAACAGCCTATTAATATAAAACTATCAAGACATGCAGTCAAAGTAAAGCAGTATTGGAAGAGGAAAAGGTTGTATTAATGCATCTGCAATAACCATAGGCCAAGAAAGCTAAAACAATGTTTATATTTTAGTAGGGTTGGAACCATCAGTCATTTCGAACCAGCTATTCTACCCATTATTCACTGCTCCTTATAGAAGTATTGTGGAGTAAGTGTTTGGTTCACTACAGCCTTTTCTCATTAGTGCCTACTCAACTTGATTTTTAGTTTTTTAGGTTGCAGTACTTTTGGCACCTACTCTAGGGCCCTGTTGGCATCTACTCTTAACGACATTTTACTGAATTGTATTGAAAAAGGACAGAAACTGACATGTGATGCCCAGATATAGATTTCTGCAATATTTTCATAAATAAATAAACAAGGTAAAGCTGTACATACATTTACACAGCGTTTTAATCTGATTATCATAAATTGTCTGCGTCTTAAAAAAACCCCCATCAAAGTGGGAATATTCACGCTAAAGCAAACATGCATAACCACAACCCATTTAAAAAAACAAAAAAACAAAAACTGTTTAAGTCTGTTTATAAGAAGCTCTTAAAAACCTTTCAGTTAACTGAAATCAAAGAAAACAGCTCCTTTTTTAGAGTTTCACTTGAATAGCAAAGCCTGTAAAACAGGTTCGGGGATACTGCTCTGACCAGCAGGTAAAAGTAACAGAAGCAGAGTGAGAGCAGGCTGAGACATGTTTGGGTTTCAACTAAGAACAATGTGCCCAGCTAATCTGCTGAAGGCCATCTGGGCTGGAGGAGTCCTTTACAACAGCAGAGTTGTTCCATGTAGGGCTGCAACTCAGGTCTAAACCCTCTGACAGTTTCATACAAACAAATCTGTAATGTGAAATGATACTAGACAATAG